CATTTGAATAAAGGATAATTACGCGAATTGAAAAAATAAAGAAAGAGCACTTACTTGATTAATGTTGAATGGCCTTTCATTAATTTTCAATTGTTTAACTGCTCCTTCAAAGCTTCTTCCGTACTTTCGTAGAATTTCCGGGAGACCTCGTTCATCTGGGGCTCCTCCCACATAAATGGAGGTGCTCTTGATAAGTGGCTGATCACTGGATGGCTGAAATTTCAGTTGCCAAGTGAAAATGCTTAACGTCTCAGTCGAACATGGCACTGAGAAATGAGCACGTATTGAGAATGACCTTCCCAAAAAACTGTTCCCACCAGAATCACTTACTCTTGGGTTTTTATAGGACATCGAAAGGAAGGGGGAGGAGGGTCATGAAGGAATGGGAAGAAAGGTGAAGTACGGGGGGAGGTCGACTGGATGGGGGATGTCAATCAAAGGTTACCTATTGGGTATTGGGTAAGTGGCAACTTTCCAGAAAGAGGGGGGAGGTCGACTGGTTTCAGGAAGAAAACGAAGGACCTTCTTACTGATCAAGCACTACAGCAATAAGTGGCTTGTTTACCATGAGGTCAAGTTATACATTTTGAGAGGGGAATGCTTTCAAATCGACTTCTAAATTACCCCGGTTTAATGAGGATTTCGACGTTCTTTCAATTACTGCAAAATGCTACGATGCTACGATAACTATGCCAATTACATCTTACTGGAGAGTAGTATTTGTGTTTATCTCCTACACAATTGCTAAATACTCTTGTTTTTCCTTTCATCGTCGTCATCGTGTAGCCAAATTTGCTATGCTCCCTTTATGGTATGGGGCTTTATACATGCAAGAAGAAAGCTGATGAGAGATTTTGCTGAAGAAGGTACCATGTGAAAAGCCAAAATTATTCATGAGTATCATTTACCACAGAACTCCTGGTAACTGATACTTCCTAGTTCCCACATATTTCAGCAGGATCCCTTGCAGTAAGTTTGGTCTCACCAATAAATACTTCCCAAGATGAAGAAGCTGAAAATTTGGAAAAGCTTCTGGTCAGCTATTTTTCATTTTCCCAATACACACGCGAATCTCTGGTCAAAGTCTCGGGTCTAGAATGAGAGCTGGGTGGTGGAGACCTGGAGCTTTCAGTGGGTTCTGCTCGGGGATAAACACTGAACCCACCCCAGATCTAACGCTGAAACGCTTTGCCCCGCGCCCATTTGAGCCTGGATTGGACTCTTCTTGGTCCATCTACAGAGAGTCCCATGTCCATCTCAATCCCCCTGTCCTTGTCCCGAAAGCTATGTTCGTAGAGTACTCAGTAACTCAAACTGAGGTAAAGTTCCATAGAGGACTAATATTGTAGATATACTGTAACCTGTAAATCTGGAGCTTTCTGGATCAGAAACCTTTTGTTACTCAAAGGAAATGGTCATATAAGGGCACCGCCTGAAAATGGCCAATTTCAAAGGTGGTCATGTTGGTACCACGAAGTATGATATTGGACTGGAAAGGAACTAACCAGTAGAGGAGCTGATTCAGCCAAAGTGTCGTTCATGTAGATAATCGCTTCTGAAGGTGAAAGATCAATCCTGATGTCGGTCCAAGACGACGCTGCCAGCTGCTGAGTAGTCCTTGAAGCACAAAGGGTTTTCTACATCGAACGGCAGACATCGTTGAAAAAATAGCAAATGCAATCAAATCTCCTCAGGAGGTTCTGGCTGTCAATCAGACGGCACTGATTGAATCGGGGCTAATTACTTAATTCCATAGTAACCCTTCATGCTCCCGTGGTAAGGACATCGGACAATTTTGATATCCAAAATCCCAAGGGTTCTTGAACAAGGAATTTTGCTCACGAATCAAATGTAAGATAACAAAGTTATTCATCAAATTTCTGCTCCAAGAACTAATCACGGAACCGAGTCTCGGAAAAGACCTTCCCCTATCACGAACCTCATCGTTTCCAGCTCATTGTCGAGTTTCCAAAAAAGTTGAAGACGTGCATCAACAAGAGCGAGGGCAACAAAGTGCTTGGGCAGTTGCCCTCTTGACAAAGATTTCAATAGGAATATAATCCCTGAAAGAAGACGATTTAGGTGAGAGTTCTGTCGGCCTAATAGACCTGTCAGACACAAAGCAATGAAAATGCTTTTTTTCACGAATTAATTTCAAATCACAGCTACGAGAATGACTCGAGGAATAGTAAAAAGCTGTTGAACTCAATCATCCTCTTCTGAAGGGAAAAGGACAGATGTCGAAAGTTCGCATTCACTTGCTGCTGGATAAGACTGGGTTCTCTCGCCCGAAGGCATCTACGGAATGTCTTAGGGGATGGAACATTCGAAACGGTACCTAGAAATAAAGCCCACCTTCATCTGACGAACGCTTCACAGCCAATGATACTTCCAGCTTGGTCCCCAAATCAACTTCGACGTCTTGAACATGAACATATTCATCCTGCTTCAGAAATACTGGACCAGCGAATAGGGAACGCAAATCTGAAAACGCTTCAGTTAGCAAAATTAGGACTGAAATTCGGGCTCAAGCACGCCTGATGGAAATGGCTTTTGGTACATTTGCG